ACTGATATAATTAATATTACTATTTATATATATATATATATATGTATATAGTATATATATATATATGAAAGAGAGAGAGATGAAGAGAGAGGAGAGAGGAGCAAGAGAGGAGAGAGAGGAGAGAAAGAGAGAGAGAGGAGAGAGAGAGAGGAAGACGGGAGAGAGAGAGAAGAGAGAGAGAGGAGCACGAGAGAGACGAGAGAGAGAGAGAGGGACGAAAGAAGAGAGAGAGGAGAAGAGAGAGAGAGAGACGAAGAGATGAGACGAGAGGAGAGAGCGAGACGAGAGAGAGAGAGAGAGAGAGAGAGATGAGAGACAGGAGAGAAGAATATTCTAAATATAGAATATTTCTACATAAAGAAACAAAAAGGAAAGAATTACCATTCTCCCCCGATATGAGCGCTCGACATGTAGATGCGACCGATGTTCAAATGGAGTGAACTGCTGCCCACAAGGTCATTGGCGTGGAATTCTAACATAAAGATATTAATAATATCCTGTGAGTATTCTAGTAATTATAGTGTGATTTAGATGACATCACCAAGAGTCAGATAAAAAAACTTCCTGCACATAATTAGGTAAGGTGATGGCAATACATAATAAAACTGTATTATTGAGCGTTAATATTAAAATTTGCATTGCCAATTTAGAACTACACAAATACAGGGCGTATACCGATGGCAGCCACATTACTTAACTTGGAGCAACCGGTGTGAAATTGCACCTATTCACAGTGTTGGCCTTACAAAGTAAAAATCTTTAACCCTTGTTTGGCCATCACACAGTAGCCAGTCTTAAGAAGCACTGGTGATTTCCTTAAAGTGAAAAATTAAAAACAGAACAATACTACAGGTTAGGGTATATGAAGAAAATATCCATACAAACAAACTTTCCAAGTCACCACAGAAATTACAAATGTCTTGGTACATTCCCATGCAATCAGTGGGATTTAAGTGCGTTAGTAGAGGTGTGCACAGTTTTTGATCGGTTTGATAGTAGTGTGCCGTAGTAGTAGTGCCTAGTGGCACTGGGCCCTACAGTGCTACTACTACTGCTACTACTACTACTACTACTACTACTACTAGTACATGTAGTAGTAGTACGTACTACTACAGTACAGTGCCCTATAGCTCTAGTACTATAGCCCGCGTACAGTTGCCACAGGCGGCTGCTGCAACTGTACGCAGGCTATAGTACTAGAGCTAAGTGCCCTACAACACTCGCAGCAGATGAGACGGGATACATAGAGAAGGCTTGTTCGCCGAAAGAAGAGGTGTTGACGACCGAAGTGGCGGAGGCGCAAGGATTTCTGCGCAGTTCCGCGGCAGGGCAGAGGCGACGACAGCTTGACCGGGGGCGGAACGTCCCCGTAGACAGTATTGCAGTGCTGCTGGCAGCTATGGATCCGTGCGCGCGAATGGCTTACAGCCGGGCACAGCATCCATAGCTGCGCAGCGAACGAGTCCCACAATTTAGTGAGGGGACAGCAGAGGGGCAGACATATTGCGGACGTGAACAGTGTTCACATTGTTAATAAAACATAAGTGTCTCTGTCGTAACCTAGCTGTGTCTACGTCCGAAATCACAAGAAAGACTGTACGAAATTTTCGCTGTTTCGCGAACGCTTGCCGCAGTAAGGAAATGGCTGCAAGGAGCAAAGGCTATATAGACTCGACTCACTCCACCTCGATTACCATTCGAGTGAGCTAAGCTAAGCCGAGGACGGTGTGTAAGGCGAAGTGCCAGTCTATGGGCTATAGGCGGCGCCACTGCTTTCCAAGCTCGCGTACGGCCTCGCCATTGGAACGTTGCCATAAAAGCGTTTGCCAGTGTTAGCCGGCTGACAGCCATTTCCAGTTACTGGCCAAGCGTTCAGCGAAACGGCTTGAGAATGTTCGCCGTCTGGTGTGATTTCGCATGAGAAACAGCTCGGTTAACGGAACAGAGAGCATTATGTTTTTTTATACAAGACGAGAAATAGTAGAATACTGTTATATGTATATATATATATTTTCTTTTTTCTTTTTGATCTTGGAACGTTTCAGGCTCTACTTCCGTTGTGAAATTTTAAGAAACCAAGGCAAGCATGGTTGGTGTGGCTACCTACACCTGAATCAAGATGGCAAGGAGAATCAAACTGAAGAGCTGCCCATCTCCTCACAGCAGGGAACAGGCAAACAAGTGAGGTCGGCAAAGTCAACCGATGCCTCTGCATGGGACGGAAATGCTCAAGTGCAGAAAGAAACCATGAGCACACAGGGGCAATTACCAGCTTCCGTCGTTTCGCACATGCAAGCGAAGTTAAAACCCGATGCACCGACGGTGGACTGCGGCGGCAACACCTCGCTGTCGTTTGCCGATCTGAGCTCGGTGCAGCCTCCCATGGTGAGAAATAAGCTGCTGGAGCATTTAAAGCAGACCACCTCGCTCAACGATTCCGCCAGCAGCTACCGAGACAGCAGTCACATGTCAGTCGACATCGCCAGCGATGACAGCAGTGACGACGGTGACAGCGGCAGGGATCGTGACGACGGTGACAGCGGCAGGGATCGTGACGACGGTGACAGCGGCAGGGATCGTGACGACGGTGA